CTCCAAACTGACGGGCGGGGCCTGCTGATCTATAGCCTCCAGCAATCGCAGGATATCAACCTCTCTGGGACTGAAATGAGTGGCGGACAAGGGTTACTTTGTAAACTAAAAGGCTAAGTGAGAAAGTTGTAGATGACAATCGGAGATGGTATGTGGACGTAGTCTTCTATGATTTACTTGTGTTTACAAGGGTTTAGGTGAATAGGCGCCAGAGAATACTAAGAGGACTGCAATAATCGCTGGTGAAGTGAACTAAATGTAAGGGATTTAAAACAGGCAACATAGGTCACACCTAACCCTGCTCGATCTATTTGATTGTTCTTCGGCAGTATCTCAAAGGTCATTTAAGGTGAGCCACTACCACTGCACCTCCTTTTGTCCATAGTCATTCTTCTACGTTTATACAGGGAGGGAACTAATTGCCCTACAGAATTTTTGTATTTTATTTAGGTTTTTTAAATCGGTTTGTTCGCCGAATACATTCACGGATTCGTTAAAGACATAAACCTTCCCGATAATTGCATGTGTCAAAAATCGATCAATCCCCGCTTGGACTATGAAGTCCTGGAAAGTTGACTGTCTTAACATACGAGCGTGCTCTCTCTTTTTTTCCTTTATCTCAATCAAAACGTAAGAAAGCCAGTTTTTTAGAATCAAGTTAGGAAGACTCAAAAACAGTCATTACAAATGGAGCGCAAAACCTTTGCAAGTACTCCAATACACGATGGGTCTGCGGCCGTCATGTCACTTCTAGGTAGTTGATTGGCCTAAATATGAATAACTCAAGGCCTTTGACAGGAGCCTCTTGGCTCAGACCGTTGAAGCGCCGGTTATACTCAAGTCATGCCCTCCCTGTCGTTGGTTCGAATTTAAGGATGGGCTCTGTCAAAAGCAGTGGATTTTTAGTCACGTTTGTTCATCCAGAAACGGACACAAAATACAGGGGGAGGACTGTCAAAGGAACTGAGGATATACTATCGGAATAATAAATCCTACATAAAGTATGTCACTGCGTCCAAATAGAACGGCAACAAAAGTATATCAGGTCTGCATATTTTCAGCCCGTAAGAGAAAGTTCGCAACGACAGAAGAGCGTTTAGAAGTATCGGTATTGATCAAGGTAGATGGAATCTCGGAAAACAGTCAGGTGAAACTCGTAGGTGAGAGTGCAAACTCACTTTCTGAGGTCGACTTCATGGTTCACATTTAAATAGGCCTTGTTGACGGAATCAGAACTTCCCGAGGAGATGGTAAACGTGGCCGGTCGCTTGAGTTGGAAAGTTGCAATAGAAATTGCCTCAGAGTGGTCATCGCCTTTGGGGTGCTTACTGTCAAGAAAATCGACGACCTGATCACAGATGGTGACAAGATCCTTCAGAGACTTCAGGTAAGTTGTGGCTCGTCGGTAAAGAAGGTCGTTGTGGTAGCCGCATTTTTCAGCTTCAGCCAACTTCAACTGAAATGAAATGAGAACCAGACTGAAGGCTGTTTATTGGCGACTAAAGCTTACTTGGAGGAATCCTTAAATTGCGTGCAATTACCTGACCGGGTGCAACAGTAGGACATTTATTGGGCCATCTTAAGGCCCAATGACGAAAGGCGTATGCCTGGTTAAAATACTGTTGATTCAAGCGACGGCTTGCAAATATTTGCACGTGAATGGAGAGCAGACTAACGGATAGGCAGGAGCGAACCTAAACTCCATCACTCTGTACTACCATAAACAGTGTTCACAGTCATTCATACCAATTCCCGACTAGATAAAGGAAAGGTGCCATAGTTTTGG